GTCATCCTCATCGTCCTCGTCGTCGCCAAAATCAACGCCCATCTCGCCGGTAATGTCCCACCGGTCTCCCTTGGCTGCGGCGCTGACATACTTGACAAACTTGAGAGTGCCGCTGTCGCGCAGGACGATGCTAAGCCGATTCCATCCGGCCGCGGTGCTGAAGAGGATGCCGTCGTCCTCGTCCGCCGCGGCGGACTTGTAGATAGCTGCGTCGCCGTCGTCTTCGTCGTCGCCGGCCATATAGATCTCGTAGCCGCCTACCGCAGGCTCGTCCGCCGAGGCAGTTTCCTTCGCCTTGGATTTCTCCTGCGCCTCGCCGTTCTCGTCTTCCATCTCTTCGTCCTCGTCTGTTTCCTTCTCCCAGCCGGGTGTCGGCGTCAGGCCCAGCGTGAACTCGAGCCGGGGCTCTTCGCCGTCGTATCCGCTCGCGAGCGTGTAATCCTGCCCGCGGCGGAACCGACGTGCCAGGAGATCATAGCTCGTAATGTGCTCGGCACCGGTAATCAGAGCCAGCCATTTCCGGAATGCAGGGGAAGGGAACAGATCGTTGAGCAGTTCCTGGATAGGAGTCTTCTGGTCCGATGTGGCGGTTCCATGCTGCTGGAACAGATAGCGCTGCTTGTGCGGCGGGCGAGCAACCGTCCATTCGGTCTTGGCCTGGATCTCGTCGGAGGACTTGGGAAGTTCCTGCTTCTCCTGCTCTTCGATATAGGCCCGTACCCGCGCAGCAAACTTGTCCGACAGGAAACGATCAAGGTTGAGCGACGATTCGTTCGAGAATGTCTCGGACATCTCCTCCGCGATATCGGGAGTCAAGTAGGACGGCGCAATGTACTGGAGCAGAAAGTTGAGGTCGGATTCGCTGAACTCAGAGCTGGGTTCTTCCTCCACCTTGGCCTTTCCCTTGCCCTTGACCTCCGGCTCCTTCTCGCACACGACCGGCTTCGCATCGGGCAAATCGTAGATGTCGCCGCGGCCCTGGAGCTGCGCCAGACTGCTTCGCTCGGCTAGCTTCTCCTCCAGGCCCTCCTCGTAACCATCCTCTCCCTTCTGTGGGATATGGAACCATCCACTGATGGCCATGCGCACGCGCTTGGCCGATTTATCCTCGCCCTCCTTGGGGTGATACACTTCCTCAACGTCATGGAAACTCTCGCCGGGCTGGACGGTGAAGAAGCTGAGCTGGTTGAATGCCGGGGGGATGCTCAGACTGAAGTCAGGGCTTGGGACTAGGACGTCCTCCCCGTTGATGTCCTTCTTGGTGGTGGTAGGGTACAAGCGTAGAGCACCGCCCCATTCCGACTGCCAGGGAGTGTCAGGATCAGTCAGGTACAGAATATAGCTCAGACGTCGGCTTCCGATCACGTCGTCATGGCACAAAAGGTGGCATCCCTCGTTGTAGATGTTGATGGCCATATCGGTCTTGCGCCCGCTAAGCTTGCCAGAGCCCGTCACGGCCGACAAGTATTCCCGGAATCGGGCAGAGTACAGGGCATCACGCAGCTTCAGCAATGAAGGTAGCTTTGACAAAGAAGCATCGTCCAAGCCGTCCAGATTCGCCAGATCGCCAGACTGAAAGATTTTGTAGATATCGGTTTCTTTCTCGGTGAAGTCGAGGTGTTCTTGGATCTCGTTACGGACCGATCGCAAAAGGGAATCCTCAATTAGGGGATGAATCACTCCATGCTTGTAACTTGCTCCTGTCAGCGCCTCTGTACTTTTTTCCCGAATAAACGATCAAGCGAGGGGACACCTACGGGCTAGACTGGGCGTATGCCTTGGTATACTTCTGCTGCTCCGAGGGCTCGAATAGGCCATCACGAAAGCGCGCAGCCACTTCTTCGTTTGACAGTGCGCGCTTCTTGGACTCCCGCTGGCCATTGCCATTCAGAGCCTCTCTTGTATCGGTCTTCCGCTTCATTTTGCAAGTATATATTGATGCTCTTATCGAAGAATTATGGGAATATCTTCTCAGAATGGACGAAGATTACCTTTTCTCTCTTTTTCGCTATTTTTTTAAAGGCGGTGAAGAAATCGGCCAGATCAATCAGGCCATCCACTATCCATCGATCAGCCCTGGATAGTCCCGTGGTCTGTCTTAGAATGATCTGTTTCTTTTTCCATTGTAGAAGTGATTGAAGAAAGCTCGGAATGGAAAAGTCGAGAGATATCTAATCTGATCTTTACTTCCCTGTTATATAAGATGTTTGTGTGAAATGATATGGCTGCAATCAGCTTGCGATAAGGCTACAAGGCCATCAATAACACTCTGTAAATGAGGAGTCACGATGACCTGGATCACTTTGACTTTGATAGGAATAACCTCACTGCTCATTCTGCTTATGATCCAGCGCAAGGTTGCGCCCACGGGTACTTACAATGGCTTCATTTCTTTGTTTATCATCCAATCGGTCGGCGAGAACCGATGTCCGAATCAGGCAGAAGCGGCAAGACGTCATTCCCTGGTTGTTTCATTGTTCGGTCAGTCATCACAGCAACACGACATTGTATCTTTCTACCCCTGATCTACTTGACAGCTTTGCCCTTTTCAACCGTCTCTATGTCTGTTTCTACACCATGAATACCCTTATTTGATTGAATTTAGAACGGTACTATGCAGCCAGCGCAAGAGAACCACGAGAACGACGATCATCAGCCAGGCACCCCGCCCCGCCCGCCTTATTCCCCAGTGACTCCAGTTCTGTCGCATCTCGCCCCGGCGAACGACTCCGCCATGAGAAACGGAGCTTCCCATCCATTTGCACCACCAGCTACAACGCCCTCACCTACTACTCCAGCTCTTCCCTATGCATCACTCTCGAACTTCCCAGGCACACAAGGCCAGGTTGTCTTTGGTCAAGAGCCCGCGCCCGTACCGATATCGGAAAGTGAGAACACCGATGCGATCGCATTGCGGTCCGCCATTTCTATCCTGCAACTACAGAAACAGCAGAGTATACGAGATATACAGACATTGGAGAAGTTGAAGAAAGTCGCTGCTGCGGATCCCGAGGGGTTTGCTCGCGAATTGGCCGCCGGGAATCTCACCACAGCAAAAGATCAGGGGGCTTACATCAATTTCACACATAAAGACGACAAACCGGTTAGCGACACGACAGGGGAATCAACCAAGGAGGCGTTGGCCGACATAGGACCGATCCCAGCGCCCCAAAATGTTGTCCGAATGCCACCGATCAACTGGGCCAAGTATCAAGTCGTAGGTGAACCGTTGGATCGCATGCATGAAGATCAATTGCGACATCCTTCTCCTGGCGAGCCGAGACGTCCAGAAACTTCGCAACGGGCGCCTGAGCATGTCGTAGCCTCACCCTATCGGCCGTTGGTAGATAAATTGGATAGTCCAACACAAGTTAAAGGGACCAGCAAGAACAAGAAAATCTGAAGAGACACTGTCCGTTTCCACAAGAACTGATCATTATTGTACATTCCATGCCAGATGGTCAGACCGATTCAGTCATAGCACATCATTTGTTGGTTTATCATGTCACATTAACCCACCAAGAAGAGACAGCAGAGAGAGAAACACGCCAACATCTGGGACCAGCAGACCAGTTAGGATGAATCCAAGCATCTGCAACGCTGCAGGGCGACTTTACACGTCCAGAATCTCTGCCAATGCTTTCTGGAGTCTGTCGTGGGCTCTCTGGACCCTCTCCATAGGAGTCAGCTTGTCATCGTCCACCTGGTCGCCTCGCACTGCCTGGAGATTGGTGGGATTCGCTGCGGGATTGTTCACCATCGACTGAGCATGCAGCTTGCGATAAATCTTCTTGCGGAGGTCCTCACGCTCCTCCATTTTGGCCTTCATTCTCTCCTGAATGGCTTTGGTGAACTCATGGGCATGGACCCAGGTCTGGGCCTTGTTACACTCCGGATTGGTGTATCTGAGGATGGCTGCGATAGCCTCGTCCGAGAGAGCAGGGCGTCCCTTGGTGGCTCCGTCATACACAGGCTGCTTGTGATTGGTCTGGCAGACATGTGAGCGATGCTGGATGGGCAAGGACTTTGAACACTCACGCTCTGAGGTTTATTGGGCCCTGGGACCTTCTTGCCAATCTCGTTGCGAGCCTGGAAAGGCAGTCCGAGTGTGGCCTGTCGAGCTGCCTGGGACTGAGCCATCATAACCTTCGCAATCTCCTCGCGGTTGATGCTGATACGCTTGGAGGTTGGATTTGGCTTAGACTGAGTCTCATTGGGGCCATCCTTTGCTTTGACTTTCGGGGTATCACCCTCGATTTCGCGGGCGTTGCGCTTCATCTTGGGATCCGACTCCTTCTCGTCTTCGATAGCTGAGGGGAGAAGCCTAACGATATGTCAGATCAAATGCAATAGTAGAGTTAACGAGACTGACAGGATCTCGAGGAAAGGAAAACGACTGGAGAGATGCCCAAGGAGAAGACCAAGGGAGATGAATGCAAATAAATGTCATGAGAAGTTCTACTGACCCTCGCATCTTAGTGTGTTGGTGTGTTTTGCTCGGCATGGCTCCGCTTGTGGTGGTGAGCGAATAGCGGTGGTGATGGCAGAGACGTTGCACGGAAAGCGAGTTTTGTCGTGATGCGGACTCTCTTCTAGCCCTGGAAAAGCCCTGGTGCTGGGAGAATTTTTCTCTTGAAAGGGTCATGTTGCCACTGCTGGGATGAAATAGTGAATGCGCAGTGGTCTCAGTTGGATATCCAGCGACCAGCCTGCCTCCAAGGCTACGTCACAACAAAACGGTGACTGCTTGTCTTGAAATATCAATCCCAGCTTCCTCGCGTTTGTCGCCATGTTAGAAAGGATTTTAGGATTCATTTTGACCCTTGTTACATATACAAGGTATCTAAATCATCCAACCGATTCCGATACAGCTTCAAATTCGCCTTTACCCAACAGTTTGTCTAGTTCCAGAACCATCACTACGGTACTATCAAGCTGTCCTTGACAGACGAGAAGTGAAATGACTTCCTCATTTGGCACCGAATTTCAAAGAACGGTCATTAATATTCATAAAACATGTTGTATCTCATAGCTGAAAGCTTCGTTAACTTTTTCCCCGGTCGAGTCTCGATCCCGTAGCCCGTCCAATCCTCCTTGATCAAATCTGCCGCGCGCTCTGCAATAGCGTAAATGTTAGCCATCGGATGTCCGCAAAGCTGAAACGGATAAATAGACGCATCAACAACGCGAACATTGGTCGTGCCATACACCTGCAGCCGATTGTCGACGACTCCGCCAACAGAACGGGGCATCATGGCCGCTGTGCCGATGGCATGGAAATTGGACGCATCTGCGGAACTGAGTTAGAGAGACATTCCCAGAAAGAAGGGAGAATTCCCCCACATACAGTTATCTTTCAACCAGTTCGCCCACACCTCATCCGCGGCATCCCCAGGCACCGCCGACAGACCAGGCCTCGATTCCATCCCCTCGAGCGGTGCGGAGCGGAACATCTGCCTCATAAACCTGGCGATCGCAACCTGCAGATGGATATCCCAGTCCAACATGCCGTAATCGGGATTAATCACGGGCTGAGCCGCCGAATCCGAAGAGCGGATGTGCACGTTTCCGTGCGCAAAGGGAGGAGGCCTCAGAACCCGGGCTTATTCATATCAATATCTGTGGGATGATTTACCATTGATCGTGTTCCCACCACCCAGAGCTCGTCCGGCCCGGAGGATCTGTGCCTCGCCGCCGAAGACCTGTGCTTCGGACGTGAACTACCAGTCTATTTCGGTTCTAAACGCACGGGAGTTCGCGTCAACATCGGTCACGTTCTCGTTGTCGAGGACTGAGGAACGGATACATTGGGGTCCTCGGAGAGACGGTTGGGCACAACAAGCCCGCTGACTCCTCCTCTTCCGATGATAAAGTCATATTCTGGGGCCAGAGCAGTGACTAGAGTGAGAAGGAGAAAGAACACAGTGAGAATCATTGTGTGGTGGGTGAGGCGCCTGTATGAACGAACGATAGAGGCACGGAGGGTGCGGAGATTAGGATGTTACTATTACTTCTTAGACGAGATAGTGAAGAAGAAGCAGTGAATGAAAGCAGTCTTGTCAATCTAAGGCTCAATATATACAAATTTGCACTAGCGCAGGTATCTCTATGAACAAACACCCATCGCTACCTACCATACTTGACTCAAAGCTTCGCATTTCTCTGCTTCTCGAACGCCTTCACAGCTCTCAACGCAGCATCTTCATACGTCCCTTTCTTCTCCTCCACCTGCTCCCTCCACGCCAGGTTACCCGCATGGTTATCCAGGATGTCCAGCGTATGCCGGTACATCTCCTCCTTCATCGTACCATAGATCCCCGTCGCAGCCTTGGTCTGCAACCCCCGCTCCCGAATCAACTGCAGCGTCTCCTCAAGCCCACCTACGCCGTCCACCAATCCCACAGCAACAGACTGCGGACCCGCGAACCGTCTCGCCTCAAGAATCAGATCCCGGAACGCGGACGGAGACAATTTCTCCCGGAAGATGCTCATCATGGGGCTCTGCAGCGGGACCCCGAACTCGAGCTCGTTGATGCACAGAAACCCCTTGGTGGGATTCTGGATCCGGTAGTCGTGGTACATGGCTAGCATGAGCCCTCCTGCGAAGGCGTGCCCGTTGAGCAGGCAGATTGTTGGCATGGGGAACCTGCATCGTGTTAGTTGGATGCTACGTTGTGAGGTCTCAGAAACATACGTGAGAAAGCGCCGGAATAGCTTCCAGAGCCACTTATCGAGGAAGCCCTCTGTAGTAGTTGCGAGTTCGAGGTCGAGCCCGTTGCTGTAGAATTTGGGGATGCCGCTCGTGGTGATCACGACGCCTTTGGGGAAGCGGTGTTCGATTATGTCTAAGGCTAGAATGAGGGCGTCGATGAAGGTTGGGGTGAGTCTGTTGTCTTTTGGCGAGGTGAAGGTGAGGAGGTAGATGTTTTTCTCTTTCTCGGAGGAGGTGGGATTGGTGCAGACGATGCTGCCTCCTGTGGAGGAGATGGGGATGGTGAACAAGGACATGATGGCTTTGTAGTGGAGAGTGCTTTATCGATCTTTGCTAGTATTAGAGTGAAGGATTTCACAGCATGAAGCTATGTACATCATTGTCAAGATGATATGCTTTTATGGAGTGTTAGGAGTAGCTCTTCCTTGAACCTCGGTTGGACCGCTCATAGAACGAATTATAATCAATCCTTGCGGTATATCACATGCTTCGAGGTCCGATAAATAATCATATCCACAACTATATCTTCAGTTCCAACATATGATTTCTGCGTAATCAGGCTGGAGATGGGATGAAGTTGATTGTTTGGATGCACTTATGCTGTGCTTTGGTCTCAGGCTGGACATGGGTGCCTTGGGACCACAATGCACCATTAGCTCAGTTTAACCCGATGATCATAGGGGACCAACACCGACAGGAGGCTATAGATCTTCTCCAGTTGATGATGAAATGAGTCAACAAACTGAAGGGCCACTCTGCAGGGATGAAAGAACATCACCAATAAGAACGGGACAAAGACCAACAGTTGATTAAGTCTCCGAATGTCAGAGGAACTCTCCGCGGTTCGATGTACCCGGGATCTTTCAAGCTTCAACTCGGTGAAATTTGTCTTCTAATCTTACCCCACTGTGAAATCAAAAATGGCAAGCATTGCATTCCCAGAGCTTGCCAAGCTCCACACTCTCTCAACTTCCCATACATACAACTATGTCTACCATGCAGCAACTGCTTCACGAGCAACCATCCTCCTCCTGCACGGGTTCCCGTCTTCCTGCTATGACTGGCGTCACCAGATCCGTCACTTCATCAAACTAGGATATGGAGTCCTGGCACCAGATCTACTGGGGTACGGCGGCACCTCCAAACCCACCGCGGTGGACGAGTACAAGCTCAAGAGTATGGCAAGGGAGATCATAGAATTACTGGAGCACGAGGGTCTGAGACAGGTCCATGCCGTGGCGCACGATACTGGATGTAATCTCCTTTCAAGGCTAGCAGACTATTACCCCGACCGTCTGCTGTCATGCACGTTTATTGCTGTGCCCTACTCTAAGCCGGGGGAGCATTTTGACTTGGACATGGTAAACAGGTTTACAAAGCAGTTGTTGGGATTCGAGAAGTGTGGGTATATCGAATTTTTCGTAGAGGATGAAGCAGGCAGTACTTTGGATCAGCATGTGAGAGATGCACTCATTGTCAGGAGAGCTCTCAGGCTAACCTTGCGTTCAATGACAGCCGGACTCGTTCTTCACGTTGTTCTACCCCGATAGCCCAGACTTGTGGGCTGAGCATCTTGGCCCTGTAGGCGCCGTAAAGGCATGGCTTCAGAATGACAAGCAAGGTCCTTTGGCGTCCTATGTCAGCGACGAGGTATATTAACATCGCAAGATCCATTGAATCCGCTGACAAGCTCAGGAACGAGCTATGCACAACAGGATCTTGCAAGGCCACCACAAGCCAGCACTCAACTGGTACCATGCTCTTGTCAGGAATGTGAACAAGGATGACGAGGTCGAAGCAAACCTCGATGCAAAGCTCAAGATGCCAGTCTTCATGATCGGCCCGCAACCGAACAAGTTTGAGATACCCGGGTTCCCCGAACAGATGAAAGACTTCGCCGAGGACTTTACGCTCAAGCGAGTCAGTACGACAGGTCACTGGATACAGCTTGAGGCGAGAGAAGAGCTGAATGCAATGCTTGAAGCATTCCTTGCACGCCCTGGCTTTGTGGGTAAAGTATAGTCATGTTCCCGTGTTGCACGCAAACGCAGACGACGACAGCCTAGACGGGTTTCACTCAAAGAAATGTTAATGTATTATAAAACAGCATAGTATTGAATATCAATCTCCCTTCAAGTCTTCAGATTAAAACAGTTCTCCCTTCCTCAGCTCCAAAGTTCCAAGTACATAGATTCAGCGCAAGAATTGGACCTCAACCTCCATATCTTGGACGACGCTCCCGTAATGTGACTTCCAAGACATGCAGTTTAGTTCTTCGATGGAGCTGGCTTGACCCTGGTCGCCCTGTAGATCTCAGGCCTCTCGAGATCATTGATCGTGCATCAGCAAACTGGAAAGAAGTAGGCCTGTCTACTTCCAGAAATGTAGGAAACTAAGACAGGTCGGTCGTGTCCTCGACGAGTTCATGATAATTTGAGATATAGCTGATGAGCAGATCAGTGAATTTTATTAATAAAAAGGAACATTATGGAGTTCGCTTCAACTAGGCGGTAACGAGCAGCTTTCATTTTCAGTGGTATATATATATGAGACGTGGTTGTCCATGAACACCACACAGAACACCTCAACTCGCGAATGACAAGCAGTGACAACGTAGATAGCCAAAGCTTCGAGTAAATCAGATTGATTGTGTTAGCCGTCATTTACACTCTCCCACATTGGAGATAGAAGTCATCATAAAGGACGATCGCGAGTGAAGCAAGGCATCGTCACTGACGTCATGCATCCATCAAACTGCTTATCTACCGCGAGGACGCCAGACATTCCATGAATCAATCTATTGTACAATCACAGGAACACGAAGCCATCGTATCGCCCCTTTCCATTAATTAGTTTTTCATCGCTTAGCTGCGTTCGCAAGCATCATCAAAATGGAATCCCCCGAACAACCAGCGCAACCCTCCAAGCAAGCCGCATACGACCAATCCCAGAACCCCGTCACCCAGACACCCCAAGAGCAGCGAGTTCAGCCTCACCAGCGCCAGCGCGGTGATCCAGTCTCCTTCATTACCCGTCGTACCGCAGACTCCAAACCATCCAATGACAAAGAACTCGCAAGACTAAAGCAGAGGCGCGAACAGGAGCAGAAGATTCTGCAAGCCGCCTCTGATGTTGACTTGGAATATGGCGTGGAGGAGCAACCCGCAGAAGGAGACATTGCTCGGGCGGTAAGACAGAAAAGCGAGCGAGCACAGGCTGGGGCGCATGCCGGTCCCGTGGGCAGTGCACAAGGGCCTGGAAACCCTGGATTTGGAGAAGAAAGAGATCTTGCTGCGGACATGGGGCGAAAGAGGGAGGAACATGATCGAATTCTAGGCGATCGTGTTGGCCAGAGTCCTGCGGAGCCTGATGGAGAGGCCGCCGAGAGGGAAGCGCTGAGACAGCGGAAGCTGAAGGAAGAGGAGAATCTGGATGTGAAAGGAGCTGTTCGTGCAGGTACAGGAGATCCAGTTGCCTGAAACAAGTAGGCACGGATAAATTGGAGCTGGAAAATGTGTTTTAGTAGATAGACATGAGGATATGTCATTGCTAATTGTACATAACATGCAATCGGGTATCAAATCAAATGCTAAAAAGATGAAGTGTGGATCAAGTATCAGCATCATCGCCCTCACCAACGGAGACCTTCTTCAAGGATAGATCCCGCTTCAAATCCTGAATACGCTTGGCGAGCTTGTGCTTCAGGATTTGGTTCTGCATGTTCTCCCACTTGACCGTCTCGGCGCGAATAAGGGCCTCGAGCTCGGCAATCTCTTCGCGATGTTGTTGGAACTGCCGCTGTTGCTCAAGCTGCTCGTCATCCAGTTCGTCTTCAGGCACATCCGCCTCTTCGTCAGCATCTGAGTCACTTTCATCGCCCGATGTATCCACTGCAGGTGTGGAAGGTTTAGTCGCCATTGGAGTTCCAGCTTGATAGAGATTCGCAAGGCCAGTATCCGAGGGAGGCGCTCCCTGTGGCTGCGCTTCATTGTCTCCGCGCAGAGCAGCTTCCATCTCCTCCAGGAGAGGATCGAGACCTCCATCATCGGCAGCGACCTCCTCCATGCCCTCATCGAGCTCGCCCTCTGCGTCCTGTTCATCGTCATAATACTCGTCTTCCTCGTAATACTCTCCACTCTGGACAAGTCCCTCCGCCCGGTTTAATGATGTTTTGTCCAACAATTCGTAGCGAGATGCAATAGCGGCTTCGTCTTGCGCGATCAGATCCTCCACAGCCTTCTCCACTTGTTCTATCGTCCGCGTGCTGAGTCGTTCGCGGAACCGCCGCTTTCTCACGTAACGCAAAGGGGGTGTCAGACCATGCGGATACTGTAAAGTCTTTTCGTCCAGGATCTCGACGTCGGACGGAAGAGGGTAATTGAGGGCCTCTGCATCGCTCGAAACAGGCCCCAAGACTAAAAGCATCTGACAGATATCCGCAGACTTATACCATCCACGCCGATCCCAACTCTTCATGCCTTCGACGATACAGGGCAAGTCCACCAGCGTCGCTGCGTACTGTTTATCACGGATCCGCAGGACGGCGCGTCGGCCCTCGCGCGTGAGTGGCTTGAAGGAAAATTCTGACCGATCGAATCGTCGTTCGTTGATCGCTTGACGTAAATATTCGCAGTCTTCGCCGGGAAGCATGCGTAAAATGAATTGCTCCTCGATGCAAGGATCGATTTCCGTATCAGAGGCTTCAGAGTCGTAGCCAACGCCGACAGGTCTGTTGGGAACCAGCCCCTTGTTCTTGATTCGGATCGACTGTACTCCTGGCTTCTTGGAAGTATTGAGCTTGATGCGTTTCGGTCCCACGGGCTGCGCGGATGCCTCTGGTGCAGAGGGACCTGCGAGCCCCTCCGCCGGTCGCTTTCTCGATGGCTTCTTCTTCTTTGCCTTCTCTTCCTCTTCGGCCGGTTGAGGTTTGCGCGCTATTTTTAATGTGATCTTCCGCTGAGGTGTTTCTGACGAGGGAGGGGGAGGCTGACTCGGTGGCTGCGAAGCTCCCTCGGGCGCCTTCTTCTTGCCCAGCGTGAGCTTGAGAGAAGGGCGAGGGGCGTCAGACATGATGACGATGTATGATTAGGGAAAACAGAGCACTCCACAGAACCGGCAACACCGATGAGATTTGAAAAGAAGAAGTAATCCTCTGAAATCGTGTTGTGCCGTTGTCGTGATGTGTGAGAGAGAGAAGAACCAAGTGGAAGGAGACATGAGAACGACCGGCAGAAAGTGTTGTATCTTTCGCTCCGCCTTTCTCTCACCTCTCAATCAATAATCCAACCAACACTGATCAGTTCACAGTCATCTCTTTGTTACTCGACCGGTATCTCTCTGCTACAGCTTGCCTGTCATATTTCGTCTTATTTACTACGTTTAACCGACAGGTAGCAGCATCATGTCCGGGCCCAACCTACACAATGCTCTCCTCCGCCCACCCATCATTCAGATCTTGCGCGCAGCTGGCTTCCATGCCACGCGTCCGTCCGTCTTAGATACACTAGCCGATCTTACAGCTCGGTATATGATGATTCTTGCATCATCTGTTGCATCCCATGCAGCCAACGCTCACCCGAACGATCCTGCCCCTGCGCCGGTGCTAGAAGACGTCTACCAAGCACTTCAGGACGTTGGCGCACTACGACCGCAATTGCGCGAATGGGAGGAGGATTGGCAAGGCGAGGAAGATATGCGGGGACTGGAGAATTTCTTGGGTTGGTTCACAGGACCGGCAAACCGTGAAATCCGGCGAGTGGCTGGCTTCCTACCTAGCGAGGGTGACATGATCGACCCCGAGTCCGTGGAGAAGGAAGATTTCCTTACAGCCCTGAAGAAAAAGCACAGCAAAACAGGCGAGGAGTCTCGATATGCGGGCACTGTGCTTGGCAAAAGCGCCGAGGAACATCCGATCGTTATAGAGGGAGGTGTTCCCAGCATCCAAGAATGGAGCCATCAAGTGCGGTCGCGGGCGCCATATGTTGCTGAGAGCGACTCGTCTGGTGTCAGTAGTGCACCCAGCAATTTGTCAGAAGCAGATGGTATGGAAGTGTGAGGAAGCACGAGGTCACCCGACGTTCAATAAGATGCTCAAACCATGCACACTCAATAAAAGGTTCACCAAATTTACAGCCAGACCGACCATCAACGGCAACAGTCAAGCAGCCGAGAGTCTTCGAAGTCCGCCTCCACATCGCGTCTGGCGTCTCAGTCAGATTTCAGTATGAAGGCTGAATAAATCTGGAGCAGGCTCATGCTTGATTTCCGGCGAAGCGCCAGTAATTTTCGCCCAATCTCGACCCCGTGACCGACTGATCTGCCTTCACGATCGAGGTCAAGATCCAAGCCTTGCCCAGGCAAACGACCGGACGGGGCTGACAACACGGCTTGTCTCTCCCCGGCATATACTATGATCGTGCGAGATCATGGAATCCCCCTGACAGGTCAACCCGTGGTGACGCCAGTTTCCCGCAACCAGAGATAGCTTATGTCTAGGTCATGTACTTAGCCGTGAAGTGAAGCCAAATACCAAAATGCTCTTGTATTGGCAGTAGCCAGGGAGACAATGTTTAGCACATTCCGAAATGCTTTAGAATTGTAGACTATATCTGTAATAGGCTGTGCTATGGAGACGACTCTTGGCCTCGCGGTGACATCAACGGCTCATCCTTTCGCTTCCTCATCCCCGCCATCTTCAACCTCCGCATTACAGTAAAGAAGTCCAGCATCATGGTGTATGCCTTTGCTCTCCCTACCACCGCCCATCTTTCCTTTCAGACTTTTCTCTCATCTAGCACACATCCATCTCTACCCCAGGCTGCGTCTACCGCTCGACATGCACTGCGACTCGCTCTCAAGGCCCACAAAAGACTACCCCACAGTCCACAACGAGATGCCCACCTCATCACAATCCTCGACGCGCTGAACAACTACCTGCCGTATCTCACTGCTATCTCTCATGGATTGAGCGGCAGACCTGTCGAAAGTGGAAGCAGCACAGGTGGTGAAGAAATCGAGGTCACTCTCCACAGCGAGCTCGAAACAGAATGGCGAGCTACATTAAGCTCAACCCCGTTATCGCTGAAAAGCCGACCCTCAAACGGCCGAGTTCGCGGACAAGGCATCGACTTTGAGATCGCCTTTGTCCTCACGACACTAGGCTACGTGCTGAGCGGCCTGGCTCGCTCAGGCGTCCTACGCGCTCTCTACGCCCCCACCACTCCAACCCCAGAACAGCGCACCGCGGCCGTCCAAACCGCCACGAAATACCTCCTGCAAGCGAGCTCAGTACACTCCCTACTCGCGTCTTCGCCTTCGTTTACAGGCGCAGCACGCCAGACGGGCACAGCCACCGCCGTACCAGACCTGGACCCGGCGGCTCAGGCGGCACTGTCGTCACTTGCGTTAGCTGAAGCGACACTCCTGGCTGTGTTGAAAGACGACTCCTATGTCGCGGCTTGCATACAGGCTCGAAACCCAAACGATAAGGATTGGATGGTGCGGGCGCCGGAGATCCCCAAGGTGCGGGCGCTGCTCTTTGCGCGCCTGTGCGTTCGTGCGGCCGAGTATGCGGAGCAGGCGGCTGCTGGCATGGGAGCGGTTGGCGCGCATGGGAAGATCGGAATTGACGAAGATGTGGTTGGCTATGCGCGAGTTCTGGGCCGTGTCGCGCGGGCTCGGGCTTGTCGGTTTTTCGGCGTTGATGCGGAGCTTGCGGGGAAGATAGGGGAGGGGATTGCCTGGCTGCGGGCAGCGAAAGGCGCGTTGGGTTTGAGAAGTGCATCTCAGGGAGAGAAAGAAGCGTCAGGCAAGAGCAAAGGGGGCTTTTCTAGATTGAAGAAGGAATGGGCTGAGAGACGGGAGGAGCGAAGGTTGGAAAAGGAGTCGGGCGGCAAAGACCGCGCCGCGAAGGGTGAGCTCGATCCCGGCGATGATGCAGGCAGGGAAGAAGAGTGCCGTGTGATCGAAATGCTAGAGACAAAGTGGGAGAGGATGAATGACACGGTAAGCCTATTTTCAGCAGTCCTTGAGCATGAAAGGTCTTTGACAGATTGATAGATCAACACGCAACTCATTCCACCTTCGACGGACCTCTTAGCCAATCTGCCGTCCGGTCGCGACATTCATTCACCACCTGGTCCTTATAAGCTCCCGTCCCTGGACGAGGAACAACTCGTGCGAATGCGTGCACCACCGGCAGAGGATGACTATGAGCCCCGTATGGACATGGATGACAGTGACGACGAGTTGACTAGCCCTGCTGGGGTTGCTCCAGGAGCGTTTCCAGAGCGAAGCGAAAGCACTTATTATTGACGATACCCTGCTTCAAGAATACGACGACGTTCAGTGCATTGTATACACAACATACTGACTTGTTCACAAGCGTAGATGAACTCAAGAGCCATTGCCTCGTGGAAGACTGACATCAGTCTACACAGGCATGTTCGCTCCAACCTCGTATGAACATGTAATGATGTATTGCAATGGTGTCAGTGTCAAGATATATGTACAGGAAACCCGAACAAAAAACAATACAATCCATCTATCTCAACAATGCCCTGCCCATCCTACTCTTCACTCAATGCCAGGTATCTCCGGCAATGACTAGACTAGCCCTATCACCACCCTCAACCGAAAGACAAGGAAAACAGATGACATGACACCCATTGATTCACTGCAAAGCTAAAACACACAAACCCAAAGCATACGCACAACCTCGCCGGTGCTCACTCACGCCGACTTCTCCCCCTCGCCCGCAAAATAGTTCTTCTCCTGGAACAGATAGCCCTTGACCTTGCGCTCTTTCAGCAACTCGAAATATTTCTCTGCAGATTGCAATCGTGACCCATTAGCTATGCCACCACCGCCACAACCCTCGGAGACAAAGGAACCCCCGGAGGAAACTCACCCCTCAACTTCCCACACTTCTCCAGATGGTTTACACCCTCACGAGCATAACACTTGCCCAATTCCTCGCCGACAAGTCGGGACATCATGCTGCGCACCCATTGTTCACGGATAATGGCGTCGCGGGCATTGTGCAGGGCGACGTTGTCCTCGAAGTCGACGCCTTCGTATGTCGGGGGCACGGTGGGCTTCTTAGCCAGGAATGCGGCGGATTCGGGGGTGGGCATTTTGATTCCTTTTTTTTCTCTTTTTGTTGGTTGAGGTTGTCGGAGAGGATTGGTCGTCTGGGAGGGATGTGAGGTCCGCTGTGCTGGGAGGAGCTGGTTTAGCTGGTTATGAGCTTGTCGGGGTGATTCTTGTGCCTTTTCATGGATGTCGTCGGCGGAATGGGACTGGGGAATTGGAGTGATGTGATTGGCTGCGCTGTAGGCGGTAAGACGTAAGGCGGGCGAGATATGCTTAATGTGCGTTTTCTAAGGCGGTAAGGCAGGTTTTTCGACTACATATCTTGATTATCCTGACCAGGTGAGGCTACGAATTCGATGCAATATCGGACATTTAAAAATACAATTAGGTTCATTATAAATGGTAGACAGATATGAATCGGAAGCACCAAGCGCCACGCCAAATCAAACAACCTCAACCAGAGACGCCTCAGAGGCTGCAGCCACCATGCAAATTAGATCAATCCAAGAAAACAATCAAGTCATACATCGATCAGTACAGGAGATCTGGCGCTCAGGGAGATAACTCATAAGTCCTCGTATGCAGTGAAAAAAAGGCCGACCTTGCAAGGAAGAAACAGTTATATTCATTGCTGTTGTTCTTGCGGCTTGTCCTCCTTCGGCAGTAGTCTGCTATAAAGTTCGCCCAGTCCATCCTTCAAACGCTGCCAGCGCGTGCGGTTGAGCTTCTTGCTGAGCTCGCGATATTGGTACATCTCCCCCCAGCAGTCTCGGCCGAACTGACAACCGGCCATATTCACCATGAAGTCACGTTCCTTCTCCGAGTAATGCACGTCGGGATCGTCGCCTTCACCACAAGCTCCTGGAGGGAATGAGTTGATGTAGCGCTGAGGCGTAAAGGCGACATTGCTGCGAATCCACGGTTGACTTTGGTACAGATACTCCAGCGCATCCTGTTCCTTGTGCTCCCAGTCCATG